CCCCTCCTCCATTCTCCTTGCTTTTATTTCTGAGCAGATGTCATATGGTATGGAATATCCCTTTGGTCAGTTTGGGTCAGCTGTCCTGGCTATGTCCCTTCCCAAAATCTTCCCCACCCCCAGCCTACTGGGTCAGGAGAAATGTTGGAGAGCCAGCCTTTATGCTATGCTAGCACGACTCAGCAGCAACCAAAACACTGGTGTGTTATCAACATCTTTGTAGCTGCTCATACAAAACACAGGGAAAATTAACTCCATCCCAGTCAGACCCAATACAGTTTGTTACAAGTTCCACAAAGTCAATGATTTAGTTTATGGTCCACAAGGAAACAGAGACACAAAGAGGAAGCATTGCTGCAGCCCTCTGGACATGGCATGGGAGTGTGCTGCAGCCCTGACACAGCCTGTGCTTGGGGTGAAACATTCCCCATGGGACTGGAGAGGAGCTTCCCTTGACAATAGATGAATTTGAGTAGCACTGACAGTAGGCTCCTTGTAACAGAAACATCCCAGAGGACTAGGATCCCTTTCTTTTTGAAATACTTTGCTGTCTCTGATCCTAGTGGCTGACAAAGCTGGCTACCTGATGGGTCTGAATTCTGCTGATTTACTCAAGGCCTTGTGCTATCCCAGGGTGAAAGTCGGGAATGAATATGTAACTAAAGGACAAAATGTCCAACAGGTACCTAGACAACTGATCAGCTTTTCATTTTGTTCAGCCAGTTCTTTCAACTTTAAAGCTAACTCAACTTTCATTACTGCCATGGCTGTGTTTCTTACAGGTATATAATTCAGTGGGTGCATTGGCTAAATCAGTCTATGAGAAGATGTTCCTATGGATGGTTACTAGAATCAACCAACAGCTGGATACGAAGCAACCTAGACAGCATTTCATCGGTGTCCTGGACATTGCTGGCTTTGAAATTTTTGATGTGAGTTACAGGAGGTATGCTTGCCCATTTATGTCTTTTCTAAACTAACTGTCATTTTTTTAATGTTTTGAATTTGCAGTTCAACAGCCTGGAGCAGCTGTGCATCAACTTCACCAATGAGAAACTGCAACAGTTCTTCAACCACCACATGTTCGTGCTGGAGCAGGAGGAGTACAAGAAGGAAGGAATTGAATGGGAGTTCATTGACTTTGGGATGGACCTGGCTGCTTGCATTGAGCTGATTGAGAAGGTAGGGGAAATATTTTCATTTTAGGAGAGCACATTTATTTCATGGTCATTTATTTTAGTCCAGTCATTCTTAATAAATTGACACATTACTGTTGAATGACCCTCTCACATAAGAAGAGGCAGTTTATAAAACCAAAGCTTTTGATATGACAGGCTGCCTCTGCACAAACGATTTCCTGAACAACATGGCTGGAGTGGAAGGAAGAGGGGATACCTGATGTTAATTTGGTGCCTTTAACAATGTTAGACTGCCTTTATCAGTAGGTTGAACCTCAAGTCTTACTCCTTCCAGTAATGGCTAGAATTAAGTTCTTGGTTCTTGCAACACAATTCCTGCCCCCTCTGTCATTGCTCACTGCTGCTGCACGGGGGATCTTAATGGGAATTAACTCCTCACTGCTACATTACAAACCAGCGTCCAATGGTTGTGCACAGCACTTACAGATCATGTGCAAATTCAGTATGCACATACCCAAACATCTTCCTTGTCAGGAACATACAAGTATCTGCTCCCAGCACTATCATTCATACTCAGTGCCCAGTGACTCATTCAGCTATCCCACATGCACATTCTAGCTCTTGCAGCTATGTAGCAGAAATTAGATATAAGCATCTAATGGCATCTTATTAATTTTTATTTTTTTTTTAAGGTTCATAAAAAGAAGGAACTCCTAGAATTCTCTCTTGGGCAATGAAGTGCAGGTCACGTCAGTGTGTCCACCAAAATCAGAGCACATGTACTTAGGTGCACTATCAGAAAATAACTAATGTAGCTCAGGTGAAAGTTCTAATGCTGAGAATGTGCCTACATTTCTGTATTGAAATATTTCCAATTTTAAATACAATTTGGAGACAAATTAAAAGTCTATGGGTATTCTAAAGTGACAGATTATTGCCATTAATTATGATTAAGGTGAGGAAAATCTGATCCATCATGCACATTCTCTGGAGACATAACAGGAGCTGTTAGATATTAGTTATCTATGCACATTTCTGAGGAGCCATCAAATTAAGTTCACACTGACAACTGCAACCTGGTGGCTTCTAACAGACATACACAAACAGCATCAGTCCCGCAAACAGGACGCTGAAACATACTTCCTAATGACGTAGGGTAAAGGTGATTGAAACTATTATAATACATATAATTAGCCTTTCATGCAAAGATGCATCTAAACAGGATTGACGAGTTGCCATGTTCATTAGAGTTTGCCTGATTATTATAGTAACTAGTGATGTATTAAGAAGTTGTGCAGTACAAATTACAGACACTGAAATAAGCCACAAATCATATGCAAGGTGACATTTTATTTACTTTTTCTCTCCCCGCCACTTACTTCATATATTCATATTTCTTCCAGCCCATGGGCATCTTCTCCATCCTGGAAGAGGAGTGCATGTTCCCCAAGGCAACTGACACCACTTTCAAGAACAAGCTCTATGACCAACATCTGGGCAAGTCCAACAACTTCCAGAAGCCCAAGCCTGTCAAAGGCAAGGCTGAGGCCCACTTTTCACTGATGCACTACGCTGGCACAGTGGACTACAACATCTCTGGCTGGCTTGACAAGAACAAGGATCCCTTGAATGAAACTGTTGTGGGGCTGTACCAGAAATCATCCTTGAAGCTGCTGTCCTTCCTTTTCTCTAACTATGCTGGTGCAGAAACCAGTAAGTGTATTTTCAGTGATGATCGATAAGGCAAGAATCAACTAAAATCTACTTCTGTTTCTCCTCTCTGTGGTATACCATAGACTCTCTATCATACCCTAATGTGACCTTGTTCTTGTGTGCACTCAGATATGCCAAAACTAAGATACCAAAATGCAGAACTACTGAAAACACAACATTTATGTGGTGCAGAGAAGTAAAACCTAGCAAGTCCAAAACAAAGTGACAGAGGGTGTATGTTTCCTGACTTACTGTGTTGTGAATCATGTGCATGCTCACCTCTTGACAGGTGCCAAATATAAGTGCAAAGTGCAAGCATGTTATAGTCTTTGGGAACAGAGTTGGGTTTTTTTGAGGTGAACTGGAAGAACTAAAAGGAGACCATGGAACTATTTCATATTCAGCTGAGTAGTCCTGGTGTTGCAAGAGAAAATGAGAGAGATAGAGAATATAATTTAGAAGTCTTCTAGGGGCATGAAAGAGCAGTCTGATCTCTTGCCCTTTTTTGTGGATCAAGTTGGATAGTGAATAGGTCTGCCTTACTGAAAAGGGCCACACAGATTTCTACCAAGAACCCCCAATATTCTGGTAGCCTGGATGCTGGGCAAAAAGCAGAGGGAGTGTACAGCAGTAGTCAACTCAGCCATCAGGTGTATGGACAGCAGAGTTTGAAGCTCAAGAGAGTACTGCATGGGGACTTTCCTGCAGTTCAGTTTCACTGACATAACAGTGTGTCTAAGCAAGCTCCTAGGAAATTCCATGGACGAGTCAGCTGAGGTCCTTGCAGGTATCATCAGTATAAGGAAGGTGAGAAGAAAAGGTTGTGGGGATAAAATTTTGGATAAGGTGTGTTCAGAGCACAAAGACTCCATTTATGTCTCAATTTAATTGGCTTCAACAGTGCAGCAAATATGAAAAGGCACTGAGCTGCTTAGACTTCTATTCCTGAGATTATAATTTGCTTCTTGCCTTGGGGCTGCCATAACTCAGAATAGATCCCTATTCTTCACCTGGAACATTGGGTTAAGAGATTTTTTGAAAG